TATATATATATATATATATATATATATATATATATATATATATATATATATATATATAGGTGATTCATGCCATTTAGAGGTGACATCCATTCATCCTTGTAATCTTATCATCCATCGAGTTTTTGACAGTTCGGATCAATTAGCTTAACCGATCAATATAAGCAGTAGTATTCTTGAAATTAACCTACTAACATTCGAGCATATGTGTCATGATGATGATATTGTTGGGCTGTTAATCGCATTCATTTCATGGCAATATGTCCAGATTAATTAACTGTCAAAAAATAAGTAACCAATTGGAATTAAGAATAAGTTTTAAATGCAAAAAAAAGCATATCGCTATGAAGTGGACGTTTTTTTGTTTTTGGTAATCATTATATATATAATTAATGTGCTTTATATATGCATATGATTAGATTAATTAAATTAGATGAAGCTGCTATGAATAAAATATATGTCGCAAATGATGCTAGATTCATTTCTTTTTTTTTTTGTCATCAAAATTACTCTCATTATATGGCACTTGCTAAATTTATAATTAGCAATGATAAATTCGCATTTATCCATTATATTTCAAGATTTATACAAGAATTCCATTGACATGCAAATACTTCGTTAATTAGATTAGCTGAAATAATTCCCACTTTTTTATATCTGTAATTTTTACATTTGCATTAGCAATAATACTTATAATAACTTTCATTAATTAATATAATAAATGAGTTTTTTCGCAATTTTTTAATCTAAACATCGAATTTTGATTGAATTCAGGAAAACAAAAATTCCAATGTTGTAATAAATTATTGAAAAAAAAAAGGAAGATTTATAGCTTATCCATCTTACGCTATTACAACAATTGACAAGGCGCATTTTCAGATTGTTCATGAGCAATTTGCGCATAATGAGAAATAGTTGGTGAACAAATAATGTGTACCGTATCAAATTCCATTTTAGCGATGTAAATTCGATGGCTAATTTCATTTTTTTTGTACAAACAACCAGTAATTGGCGCTAAATTTTGAAAAATTAGTAGTAATCCTCAAAATATTTTCAATTTCCATTTGAATAAATAATACTTTAATAAATGAGGGAATATTATTTTTCTCCGTTATGTAAACTTTTCGAAAATCTACAATTTTTTTTTTCTTGATAACATTTAATAAAATCAGATTAGTGTTAAAAAGGAAAATGGAAGAGATTTACCTTTCAAAATACTCTCATTACTTTTTCTTTCCACAATTTGATGATGATGTAACGGCTTTCGTAATATTTTATCAATTAGTATACGATCATTTGCATTACTTTGGTGACCTTCAAATACTAAAAAGGAAAAAATATATATATATACTTTTTTTAATTTCAATTTTTTTGTTTCTTTTTTAGTTTAATTTAATTGGAATTCAAATATATTATTTCCTTTAATATAAAAACATTTTATTTTAGCATCATTAAATGAAATCAATTAATAATAAATACGAGAATTTTATTATTCACTTTCAATTTCTATATCAATTTACACTTCTAATTTATTCTTTCAATTTTCATTTTCATTTAACACAAAAAAGCGAAAGAAGGAAAAAAGGAAAAAAGTAAAATAATGAGAATAATTTCTCAACTCAACATACCAAAATCAGCATTGTTACAAAATGCATTTATAATATCGATGTTTGAGCAAATGTCACATTGTGTTTTTTCATTTACAATTAATGTTTCCGGTAAAATTTCATATCGAAAACCGGCAGCTCGTTGTTTCCAAATTTGCATTTTATAAGTTTCGATAAAAATTAATATATCTATTTTAACATTCATGCATTTTTGAAATTCTTTCATTGCATTCAATAAATGATGATTGTTACCATCTGCAAGTTTCTAAATTTATTTTCTCATAGAAATCAGATAAATTTTTTTCAAACTATTAAATTTCTTCAAAATTTATTAAATTATTATTTCTTTTTTTTCAAGAAAAAAAAGGCGAATAAATGTATACCTGATATATAATATGAAATTTTATAAGATGGTATAAAACGAATTCGAAGACAAATTCTTTCGTCATTTGTATCTTTCATTAAAAATCGAACATGCATTCCACCAATTGGATCATTCCATTGTACGTAACCACTGCTACATGATAAATTTACTTTTTGAATAATTTTATCATCAATTCCACCACTGAAAAAAGTATTTGTTTATCAGTTTATCAAATCATAGCAAAAGAATCATCAAAATTATTCTATGACAATATGTGTGACAAATGATTATATATATATATATATATTGATAATTACAAGTTGTTTTACTGATAATTTAAATTATTTTGAATTATTTGAATCATACTACCATTTCATAATGTAACGTAATATTAAACGAGGCTTTATACTTCATTACCTGAATAATTGATAATTTTGTAAATTAAGATTGTTTGTTCAATACATCAAAGATATTGCTAGTGATAAATTAAAATGCATGCATTGAACTGCTAAAACAAATATGAATTTGCTTATTTTTTTGAATCATTTTAATAATTTTATCATTTCATTTCGATCAATTTTAAACTTCCTTTTAGTGCCTTATTATCCATTAATTATGTAAATTTACTTATTTAGTTTGCTTATCAAAAATTTTTTTTAAATTTATTCGTTGAAAGTTCGTTTATTATCCTTTAATATTTTCGAATATAATTGATTGTAATGTATAATAGCAAATGATAACACTTATTTTTTATCATCATTTATCAAATTTTCCTTTTTTTTCTTATTTTGCAAATAAAAAATGTGAAAATTATTATTGAAAGAAGGGAAAGAGAGAAATGGAAATATGATAAAGAAAGGCTAAAAATGTGTAAAATTATATATTTGAATGTAACGGTTTGATGAACACAGTGTAAAATCAATTGAGCGTATAAAATGAATGATTGGAATAATGGATGCAAAGTTTTTCTCTTTTTTTTTTTGTTAGTCAAAGCAGATAACATTCTTAGCAATCATTTCAATCAAAAAATTTAAATTTCAATCGATATTTTAGTTTTTTTTTTTAACAAAAAATATAAAAAATATAACTTTATTTTTTGTAATCTAAAAAGATATATAAATGGTTGGATAATTTTGAATAATTAATTAGTATTCATTTTAGACATTTATCGTCGTCCTCTTTTTTTTTCCTTTTTTTTTTTTTTGTATTGATCATCTTTTTTTCGACTTATCTTATTATATTACAACAATTATGCGCAATGGCGCGTGTAACTGTTTCGGTAATTCAAAAAAAGCAAAAAAAAAAAAGAAAGGAAGAATAATAAAAAACAATTAACGATAAAAAATTATATTGCAGAAAAATTTCATTTCAATTTGAATATTTTTGTTCAAAAAAAGAAAACGAAAAAAACTGATGGAAATTAATTTTTAAAGCTATAAATTATCCGTTAAATTTCATATTTATTCTATTTAATTACACACCTACTTGATATTGAAGCAAACAAAGTAAAGCAAGTAAAACGGTAAAAAAAATTTTCTTTTGAAATAAATGGAA